TAATATCACAATACAGTTAGAACGAAATAAACATCTATATATTTTTTTATTATTTATTTTTAATTATTTTTTTAATTTTATTTTTTTACGTATTTAAATTTTTTATATTATATATAAATATATATATATAACAATAATTATATATATATATATTTAATCAGTATTAGTCTACGTGTAATTTGATAGTAATATATATATAAATAATTATATATATTAATATTTAAATACACTTCGTGTATGTATAAATGTGTGTGTGTGTGTGTGTGTATATATATATATATATACTTAGATCATATATATATAATATATATGATCTAAGTATATTTTATATTTAACTGTAATTTTTTTTTTACTAATATTTTTTTTTTTTTTACAGGACAGGGGGCAGAGACAGTGTCAGCCAGTGATTTTACATCACTGGCTGACACACAGGATCAGTGATCACAGTGACTGCCTGTCACTGTGATCACCTCCTGCAGATTGGGTAATTGGCCACAGGGGGGAGTGCCTGGGTGGTACAAGCATTCCCCCCTTCCAATCTGCAGGGGGATCTGTGTGCCAGTTACATGTGTCAGCCAATAGGCTGACACATGTAACACTGATCGCAGTGACAGGCTGTCACTGCGATCAGAGCGCTCTGAGATCGCAGTGACAGCCTGTCACTGCGATCTCAGAAGGTGCAGATCGCGGTCACTGACCCCAGGGGGACTGCCTGGGGGGCCAGGTAAGTCCCCCGACCGCGATCTGCACGGGGAGAGCCGCTGGCCACGTGTGTCAGCCGATTTGAAATCGGCTTACACACGTTAAAAACTGATCGCAGTGACAGCCTGTCACCGGCCACAGGGGGGGTTGCCTGGGGGGCCGGGCATCCCCTCCGACCGCGATCTGCAGCGGGCGAATAGCGCCGGCCACGTGGGCGGCCATTAAAGTGAGGGCGTACTATTACGCCCGCCGGCGTTTAGAGCCGGCTCCTGCAGGGCGTAATAGTACGCCCTCCGGATTTAAGGGGTTAAGGACACAGCTTCAGAAGCTTGACCTTCGCTTAATGACACAAGCAATTTTTGCATTTTCTTGCTGTTTGCGTTCAACTGCAATTTGCATCTCTCTCATTTATTGCACCGACACATATTATATACTGTTTTTTAAAGGACAGAAAGGGCTTTAATTTGATATAACATATATATATATATATAAATGCTTACTTATTATAAAAAAAATACAGAAAAATGCAAAAAAAATGAAAAATATTGGTTTTTTTACAGTTTTTGCAATAATAATGTGTGCATAATTAGTGCAGGTTAAGGAAAGTAATTAAAAATAAATTTATTTATTTGTTCTGATTTACAGAATATATAATGTGTCTGGGATTTTAAGTTTTTTTTGGTAGTTACAGGCCACAAAGCACAAGGAGTAAAATAAACTTTTAATGTGGAGCGATTTTAGAATTTGGTATGTTTGTCTTGTAAGCTTAATAGCCATAAAAGAAAACAAAATTGCCACACAAAAGTATATATTTATATAAAGTAGACATCACGGGCTATTTACCCAAGGTTGTTTTGACACTTTCTACGTAGCCATTTCACCGCCAACCTCTGCTAAATATTGGAGTAAAATTGTGTTCTTTTGGTTTTTGGCACACAAACTTATAACAGAGAAATTCTCGTGTATATTTTGTAAAGTTGGTGTGTGCTATTCCTGTACAAAGTTTTATTTTGTGTTCAGTTACATCTGCTGAGTAAAATGACACCCCATATGAATGTCTTTTGCACTATTTCGTGAAGTTACAGTGCCATACAGGATACCTGTCCTTTTCAGTATTCACAGTAGAATTTTGAGAGATGGATTTAATGAGCCTTAGCTTCCATTTTGGGGTATTATAACAGTTTGGCTGTTCAAAAAAACCCCACAAAGGCCTACCATTTGTAAAAGTAGACACTCCAGGGTATCTCATAAGGTGCATATTGTGCCTTAACATGCCCCCATTTTTTCACCAATATATGCCAAAGTATGTGGTAAAAATAATTTTGTGCATTTTTTACATACGGATTGCATTTTTGCTGGGCGTTTTGTATATTTCATATGTGCCACTAAGTTCAAACCCCCAAATTATGCTCAGCTAAGTCTTCTGAGTAAAATGACACCCCATATGAATGTCTTTGGCACTATTTCGTGAAGCTACAGTGCCATATAGGAGACCTGTCCTTTACAGTATTCACAGTAGAATTTTGAGAGATGGATTTAATGAGCCTTAGCTTCCATTTGGGGTATTATAACAGCTTGACTGTTCAAAAAAAACCCACAAAGGCCTACCATTTGTAAAAGTAGACACTCCAGGGTATCTTATAAGGTGCATATTGTGCCTTAACATGCCCCCATTTTTTCACCAATATATGCCAAAGTATGTGGTAAAAAATAATTTTGTGCATTTTTTACATACGGATTGCATTTTTGCTGGGCGTTTTGTATATTTCATATGTGCCACTAAGTTCAAACCCCCCAAATTATGCTCAGCTAAGTCTTCTGAGTAAAATGACACCCCATA